CTTTTTATTTTCAACAGTTAAGATTTAGTATTTGTTTAGATAAAAAAAAAGTATTCTTAATAAATGTGAATAAGTTTTAATAATTAAAAATAAAAATAAAAATAATTAAATTTTAGGTAAATATAATATATAAAATTTGTGCGTAAATAAATTTTATTTCTTTTTTAATAATAATTTATATGAACCATGAGAGACCATTGAGAGTTAAGGGCTTGTTTGGTGGAGTTTTTTAGAACTTTTGCTTTTTTAGTATTGTTTATGAATTATAAGTTTAAATTTTTATTGGAAAGAAATTTAAAAATTACTTTTAAAAATAATAAAAAGTAAGTAAAAAATGAGTAAAAAAAGAAGTTTATAAAAAATAAAAATTTGGAGTTTTTCAAAATTCACTGTTTATGGTCTTTTTAATGTTAAAAAGAAATAAAAAAATATGAATTTTTTTTAAAAAAATATAAATTTATGAAACATAAATAATAATAAAAAATTAAAACACTTATAAGTTTTATCAAACATGCACTTACTTACAAGTCCAATGTTGAAGCTGTATCAGAAGTTAGGTACTCTAAACAGGATGGCACATTGTCCCATTCTAAGTAGACAATTAAGAATAAGAATTTTAAATTATGGTTACCACTTATATTATAATGTTAAGTTATTAAAAAATTATAAACTATTATTTTTAAAATTTTAATTTTATTTAATTTAATTGATAAAAAAAATTAATAATTATATTATTAATTGATAACTAATAAAATAATTGATATTTATTAATTAATAAATTAAAATTAATCAACAAATTAATATTTTTATATACTTTTTTAAAAAGTTAAAAATTTAGTGGCCTTGGCATTTTATGTAAGGTGATATGCTATTGGGCAAAACTCTCTAACCATATTTTGGGAATGACAATAATATATTAATACCATGTAGAATTATAATTTTATAATAATAACATATTATATATACAAAAAAGTTATGTTGTATTATTGAATGAATAGATGTATATAATATGATGAGTGTACTTTTGAATAAAAATGATCAAATATTAATAAAACTCAAGATTATAAATTTACAATATCATGTCATGTTATAATTCTATATTTCTATTTTGTGAGGGATGGAGTAATCTTATATTATTTATTAATTTTGTTAGAGATAA